TTTTCCCGTACCCTTCCACAAACTTGCGATAATAACCGGTTAGCCCAAAAAAACCTCTCAGTCCTTTCAAATTTTTTGGACTAGGCCACTGAGACATAGCTTCAATCTTGGAGGGATCTGCTTTCACTCCCTCCGAAGAAATGATGTGGCCCAAATATTCAATTTGTTGTCGCTCGAAACTGCATTTCTTTTTATTTGCTACCAATTGATGTTGACGTAAAATCTGCAGAACAGCCCTGAGATGTCTTAAATGCTCATCCTTACTGCTGCTGTAGACAAGAATGTCATCAAAAAACACCAGAACAAACTTGCGCAAATGCGGCCTCAATATCTCATTCATCAAGGACTGGAAGGTAGATGGAGCGTTTGTGAGCCCAAAAGGCATCACTAAGTACTCATAGTGACCCTCATGGGTTCTGAAAGCCGTTTTGGGAATGTCTTCTTCCCTCATGCGTATCTGGTGATACCCTGATTTGAGGTCCAATTTGGAGTAAATGCTGGATCCTCCCAACTCGTCCAGTAGCTCCTCAATAACAGGAATGGGAAACTTGTCGGGTACAATGAGCTTGTTGAGGGCCCTGTAATCCACGCATACTCGCCAACTTCCATCTTTTTTTCTTACTAGAATTACTGGACTCGAGTAAGGACTGATACTTGGACGTATCATTCCTGCAGTAAGCAACTCAGACACCAGAGATTCAATTAAAGACTTCTGATAATGAGGATACCTGTAGGGCCGAATATTGGGTACCGCACTACCAGGTTTAAGTTCGATGGCATGATCATGGCGCCGGTGGGGTGGTAAGCCTTGAGGTTGTTGGAAGATATCATCAAATTCGGCCAGCAGCTGAGAGAGTTCGTCCCACTTCTCATGTTCTGCTGATGAGTTTCTTTGGACCCACTGAGGCTCAATCACACAACCGAGGCCCTCATCCTTCATGGTTTTCATCATTGACCGTACAGAGGCCAAAGCACCCTTACGGGAGAGTGAAGGATCACCACGAAGAGTCATCTGCTTACCCTCAACTTGAAATCTTAACGTCAGCTTGTTGAAATCAGCTGTAATTTCCCCCAAACCCTTCAGCCAATCCATTCCAAGAATGACCTCCGCACCTCCTAGGTCAAAGACGAACAAATCCTGTTTCGTCTGATACTCCTGAATTTGTAGGTTTACTTGACGGCACACCCCTTGACTTCCTACCTTGTGACCATCTCCCAACACTACGTTAAAACTGTAGGAATCTTCAATGGGCAACCCCAATTTTTCTGCCACATGACGGTTGACAAAGTTGTGTGTGGCACCACAGTCAACAAGCACCGTCACCCTCTCGCGCTTCACGGATCCCCATAGCTGCATGCTTTGGTTCGAAGAGAGCCCTAGGATGCTGTAGACTGACAACTGTAAGGTATCCGTTCCGATCGGTTGCTCCTCCTCGTCTCCTTTTTCTTCGTTCGCGACCGTCGGTACATCGTGCGCCTCTTCAACTTCCTCGACCACCAGCAACTGCAACTGCGCATTCCGACAGCGATGGGTACGATCCCATCGTTCTCCACACTTGAAACAAAGTCCGCGGCGGCTCCGGTCGTGCAACTCCGCTTGGCTGAGTCGTCCTCGTCCTTTAACATTGCTGCTTCCAGAAGCTTCATTCGTTCTAGGGTCTCCTACGGTGTCAGCGTTATTAAAACGCATGGTATTGCCCTGTCCGAAACGCAAGTCGTTTTGGTTAGTTACAGAGGCACGTGTCACACCACTAGTTGGATTAGTGTTATTTGTGGCTGAGCCTTTTGTGTGCGGCCCAGGGGAAAATCCCTTCGTGGGCTGATGTGAACGGCCCAACTCACTTGCCTTGCCTCCCCACAGCGTCCCAAGCCCATCCGTCAGCCAAGATTCGTTCCGTCTCTCCAAGTCCATCGTCTTCCTCATCAGGTCCGATAAGGAATCAATGTTGCTCTGCAGCAACTCTGTTCGAAGGTTGCTACTAACACCATGAAGCCAAATTTCCTTGAGCATGGTCTCATCGGCATAGTGAATGGGGCTGATTATTCTCTCAAATTCAGCCCTATAATCAGCAACACTACCCACCTGCTTCAAGCTCATCAGCTCTTGATAGGGACTACCAGTCAACTCCAGTTGGAAACGGTCCATGACGTCCGCCCTGAATTCCTCCCAAGAAGCGTTTGTATTACTACGCTCCCATATGAAGAACCAGTTTAACGCAGCTCCATCAAGGACGGTCAGAACCGCATCCAACTTCATGCGCTCAGGGATCTCGTTAACCAAAAAATAGCGCTCGACCCTGGATACCCACGCGAACACATCCTCCCCGCAGAATCTGGGGGGCTCCAACCTGGGTTGACGTGGGGTTCCACCCCCATGTCTTCCGGCCATTGGATTACGCCATTCCGATTCAGTTGAATCGGTACTCCTCTGACGCGAACGACCACGACGAGGGCTGGGTACCCTGTGAGGTCTTTCGCGACTGCGCGTTCGTCGTTGCAGCAAATCCAAGATCTCATTTAACCTTTGCTCACTTCTGTCATGGCGTTCATCAGCCACTGTCTCCATCCGTCTGAGACGCTCCTCAACAATTTCCAAGCGGTTATCCATGTTGCGAGTAAGAACCATTCAAAGCACCCCAAGGATCGGAGTGCTCTGATACCAGTTGATAAGACTGGCAATGCAATCAGAGAAATAAACGCAGCACACAAGTATTTTTGGGCCCAGAAATCTGGATTTTCTTAATATTAATCAAAAGAGCAAATGCTATTACAGTGAACTTTCAATCTAAAGCTTAAAAGAGAAATACTACAGAAAAGTACTCTATAATTTCAGTGCAATTAAAGAGGCACTGATCTCTCCCAAGAACTCCCAATTTTCCCAGCCTCCTCTTCCCCTTAATGCGTTCTGTTTATATAATCACATTAGGATCCTTTTCCATCCCTTGCCACGTCAGCAACAGCATGCACCTCACTAACCGAATGCCTTCTAACAGAATTTCCCTTGGCAGCATTATCATTCCCATCTCTCTCCTCTGAGTCAGCAAGAGTTTGTGATCCCCTGTAGCGTTTTCTGCTATACACCCTCATAGTAGTCTTATCACCTGCCAACAGGTCAAGTATTCCACACAAGCCCCAGCTGGGCTGCTACAACCCATCCTTATCCCTGAAAGAATTTGGGAGGATTTATCCATGGATTTTATCATTGGTCTTCCAATGTCTTATGGTTACACAACAATTCTGGTTGTAGTAGACCGATTGTCAAAACAGGCCCACTTTGGATCCTTGCCTAGGAAATATAATGTTGCAAAGGTTGCAGAACTCTTTGCCGAAATGGTTTGTAAACTACATGGTGTGCCTAGATGAATCATATCAGATCGAGATCCTATTTTTCTTAGTCGATTTTGGACAGAGTTATTTCAGTTTAGTGGCACTTGCCTACGTCGTTCCACTGCCTATCACCCACAATCTGATGGCCAATAAGAAGTGGTCAATAGAGTTTTAGAGCAATACCTTTGCTGTTTTGTTGCTGATTTTCCACACAAATGGTCTAAAATTCTGCACTGGGCTGAACTCCCTTCAAGGTTGTTTATGGTAGGGAACCCCCATCTCTTTTAGATTATGTGTCTTCTACCACTGTTTCTGCTGAAGTTGATCAAATCTTAAGGGATTGACAAGCTATTACACTGCAATTAAAGGAGAATTTGCAGAAAGCACAGGGTATCATGAAGCGCACAGCTGACAAACACTGAAGAGATATACATTATGCAGTTGGTGATTTGGTTTGGGTGCAATTACAGCCTTATCGTCAATCCTCGATGTCCCACAGAGCTTCCTCTAAGTTGTCCAAACGTTATTTTGGACCCTTTGAAATTCTGAAACGGGTAGGAAAAGTTGCCTATATGATGAAATTACCAACCCATGCTAAAATACATCATACATTTCATGTCTCATTGCTGAAACCGTACCAAGGAGACTTGGATATCACTCCCTTTCCCTTGCCAGAAGTATTCACCAGCACTTACCAGTACTGGAACCCAAGCTAATATTAGCAACCCGTTGGGAAGAAGAGAGCAATCCACCAAAAGCACAAGTTCAAGTTCTTTGGGAGGGGATATTCCCTGACTTTACTACGTGGGAAATTTTGGAAGACTTTCTGCATCAATATCCAACCTTCAACCTTGAGGACAAGGTTGTTTCTAATGGGGCAGGTATTGATATGAGTCTAGGCCCATCAAGCAGCCCAATAGCTATGGATCCAGCAACCAATACAGTGGAGAACCAAGCCCAAGGACCATCTCAAAGTACTATCGAGAACCTTCAGCCAAGGATGCAACCAGATGTGCTTAACAATAGAGAGGAGCTGAGTGAAGCTGACAGAGACTTGACGGAAGAGGATGGGAGATCTAGAAGAGTAAGGAAGAGACCATCACGATTGGAAGAGGAAGGGTACGATTGGCAAGTTTAGAGGCAACAAGACAATTTTGTACACGGATAGTAGAGAATACCGTATAGGTCTGTATTCTTTCAATTAGATTGTTGCATGTTGGTATAAAGGGAAAGAGACCCGATGTAAAGGTTGTTGAATGTTGAAATAAAATTTCCTTCTTCTTTTCCCCAAATTCTCTCTTCTCTTCTCATCTCATCTTGCCAGATAGGATTCATCCTATCAATGATTATCTACCTGTACCGTGATATTTAGTTAAAACTCATCTGTTCTTATCAAAAGTCCATGCGATAAAAACTTTCAAGTTTGGTTTGCACGTTTATGATAACATTTTCACCCTTCCTTGTCCCTTTTTCCTATTTTTTGATTTGTCATAAGTAGAAAGATATTGAGTTGAGTGTAACTCTTTTTATAGTCCTCAATTCATGGTGTGTGTTGTTGAGCAACAATTTCCTTTTCCTGTCTTAGATTAGATAGTAGACGATCATATCCCTTCTTTACATTGTTGGAGGCCTGAGACCCCTCGGCTTTGTTTCTGCTGAATATTCTACTGCAGGTGGTCATCTCCATAGGTGCACAGAAATTTCAAAGAATTGGAATTTGGCTCCACCGAAATAGTTGGATTCTCACCTCAAAGCACTTTGCATCTGTTTATTATCAAGTGATTATGGTTGTGATCTTCTGATAAGAACTGTTGTGCTGCATTTCTTTTCCCCTGATAGAAAACACTGCTGTTATACTACAACTTCTGGCGATCTGGAGGAGCATGATGGTTGCAAACAAAAGTTCCTTCCGTGCAACATTTTTAGTCACATTTTCCCTTGGTCTTTCTAGTCTGGGTAGCGAAGTTGGTATACTTTGATATATATGCAGCCAGTTTATTTTAAATACGGTTCTGTACAAAAAGTTATATGATTGAAAATAATCTAACAATATTTACCCAAAAAAAAAAAAAGGCAGACCTGGTGCACACTACGAGAACAGGGATGAGGGACAATTGTATGCTGTCTTATCTTTGTATGTTTGTAAAAAAATTATTTTTCAAACTCGAATTCATGATCTTTTATTCACAAAGAACAACCTTATCAAAAGAAAAAAAAAAACAATTTAACATTAGTTTAAGGAAAAAGTGTTTCTCCTGCCCCGAGAAATAAAATTATTTTTCATAATTCCAAAACAAAATGTTTTTTGGGGTTTAGGGAAAAAAATGCATGACATTTTGAGAATTTTACTTCTTTTATAATATGAATTTTCCTGAAATGTCTTGTATTTTTTTTTTCCAAATTCAAAATAACGTCGTTTTGGAATTACCTAACATTTCACCCTTAGTTTAATATCAGAAAAAATTGTTGAAATTATTAAGTATTATTATTATTATTATTATTTTTATAAATTTTGTCAAGGTGTGTTATTAGGACATATGTCAGTGAATAAAAATAAAATTTATTAGTCATCTTATTAAATACATTTTATATTTTTTTAAAGATATTTGAATGTTTAGTTTCTTTTTATATCTAACACGTGAACAAAATCTTTTGTATTTAACTATTGAATGGCTTTATGCCTTTAATAATTTCATTTAATACATATTCAATACTTAAAATAAAAATATTAAGAATATTAAAATTTAATGTTTATTCTTTTTATCAGTAAAAGATGTAATCCTGAACTTTCAATGCAATTTTTTCTTCACTTTATTCTCCTAAATCAAACTTCCGAGATTACATTGCGTGTTTGATGATGAGAAATCGAGAACATGGAGCAGATATTCTATGGTACCACGTCTATTGTCATCCATTCAGCAACTAGTGATTGGAAATTTGCATTAGGTGGGGCTCTTTGCTACCTGGTAGTTCCAGATTTTGCCTGTCATAGCATGCAGTAGATTCTCAAAATTATTGATGTTCAAATTTCTAACTTAAAGCCCAAAACGATTATCCTTCCTTCGTCCAAAATGGAACCTGAATTTTCTTTCACGATGGTCTGAAGTAGAAAAGGCCGAAGACTAAGTTAAAGGCTCAAAACAAAGTTTTGGAAAACTAGAAGAGGAGGAAAAATCAAAATCTAGTGCACTTCACCCATGAAGAACAAAATCACCCAACCCTTTGCTAGAAAAGCAATGCTTTGTATTCACAAAAGGGTGGTGAAGAAGCTCTAACACTGTTGCTCTCTTCCTCCAATCCTTTTCAAGACACCTCCTGACAAAATTTTGGAACTGGGATGATGCCTTCTCTGGCATCTCCAGCTTCTCACCAAAGCATATTGCACACATCAAAGTTGCCCAATCTGGTCTCTGCCCTGGACCAATTAAGGGAAAATAACCCATAAAACATTCCAACATCACCACTCCCATTGACCACACATCTCCTGCAAACTCATCTGCATTTTCACCACCCCATCTCTCTGGATCAACTCTTTCAGGGCTCATGTAGGCACACGTACCAGCGTTGGAGTCAGTTTCCTCTAACCTTCCTTCCACTACGTGACTGACTCCAAAGTCTGCAATCTTCACCTCACCCTTGTCATTCACAAGCAAGTTTGAGGGTTTAATATCTCTATGCACAATGTGCATGCCATGCAAATAGTTCAACCCTTCCAACACACGATTAGCCAAGACAGAAATCACCTCCTCGGGGAGTCTATGGTGTTCTCTCAACACATCATGCAACGATCCTCCTTCCATGTATTCCATAATAAAGCTAATATGACCTGCATCACTGCTCAATGCACCATTATCAAAAACTGCATGACACTTTACTATATAAGGGGAATCCACTCGTTTAAGAATCTCAGCTTCGAGTGTAGCGGGTTGACGGATGCCAATGGCATTCTGATTGAAGCGTAGGACCTTCAATGCATAAAGAGAATTGTTCTTCTTGTGATGAACTTTATAGACTATGCCACCATTGCCATGGCCAAGTACAGCTACTTTCTCGAGGTCTGAAAGGTTCCTGATGCCTGGAGAAGAGTCTACATGGGAGGATGGGGATGGCGGCAACGATGGTGTTATGTGGGTTTGGAGGGGGAAATCAGATAATGGAATTGAAGGTTTTGGTAAGGAAAGCCTTAGAGCTTGTTTGTGTCTCCTCTCTCTGATAACCAGTGTCATTTACCTTTGTTACACTTGAAAACACTCTCAAGCCTTAACAAAAAATATATATATGGGGTATAAAGAATGTGATAAAAGGGTAAGATTTCAATTAAAGAAAGACACGTGCTTGACTCTAACTGTTGGCATATTAGAGTACTGACAAGTGTCGTGTGATGAATCCGAAATGGATGGACAGGTGAGCTTTTGGTGGTGATATCAGAATTCAGAGCATATTCGGTGGCTGTGATAATTTTAGTTTTATTTGCAAGATTTAGATGTGCTTTTGCTGCCATTTGTTATTGTATATATATTTTTAATATTTTTCTTAAATCCAGTTAGTTTCTAAATTTAGCTAAAACCTCAAATTTCATGGTTCTCATTAAACATGTGCATCTACATCCCTGAGGTGTTTGTTATGGTCAGGATGCTATATAGTCTACTTTATAGGTTTGAGACATTATAAAGGAATGATGGTGCGATAGTGGAGATGCCTATAATCAAGTGTTAAGCATGCAAAGCAGTGACACAACCCGAAATAAAAGAGCTGAGCAGTAGAAATCCATGGATCAGATTTTTGGGATAACAATCCGAAATTGAAGCCAAAACCATATAACATTTTCACTTTATATACAGAAAAATGAGCATGTTTTCTTTGCAGAAAGGTCACTTCGAGGTGATTCAAATAGTTGAGTGGAGATGGAAATTTTTATTGAAACCATAGTTTTATGTACAAGTTAAAATTGGATCTTCAAAGTAAATTCCCATCCTAGGTAAAAAGGAAAATGAAATTGATAGTTTAACATTATTTTTTATACATCGTTTGTGTATTGGGAAATAATATGTAAACAGCTAGTCAAAGTATTTAATTAATATTCCTGTTCATCTCATGATACACAATGTTCATTAGTTATTTGCTCACATTTACTGATGTAAAAATGATTGCGAACAATTGTGTATGTATATCATAATTGAAATGAAAAAAAAACGTTACAGAAAGTTTTGAAGTTCTGAATGAATCAAGGCATGTGGTTGCCTTTGTTTTGTTTATCCTTTTTTTTTTTTTTGGTTTGGATCTTTTGTGCTTATAATTACTTTTAATAAATAAATAAATTATTGTGGGCATCTGGATACAAGTGGGAATGAAAAAGAATTCAAGTTTTATCAATAACATTTCTTAAGTGATTGAACCATACCATCAATTAGGCTCTATTCAAGTTGTTGAAAAATTCTTTGTATTTTTTTTTTATTTCCTAAGGTATATAGTCGAAGACTAATTTTTTCGAGACGAGAAATCACATTAAGTGAATAAATCTCTCCCTACAAAGCTTTTTTCATAGATACAGTCAAAGATCAAACCTGTTAGCATGCTTAAGGAATTCAGTTATCTACCAACTGTACCGGACTCTATTCAAGTTTATGAAAAAAAAATTATATAATTTTACCCTAATACTGGTACCATTTAATATGTATGATTCCAATTATAATACCAAAAGTAAGACCCAACAACAACCCACGTAATTGAGCTGGTACACATTAAATAACGATTTCCTAAGAATTTCTCATAGTTTTTTATGAACAGATCAGCATATATGTCAAAATTCAGAATTAATACCCCAACTTACAATATAAATAAATTCTTATATATTTTCAATATACTACACTAGTACAGCAAAAACATAACAAATGGCACAAAAGATGAATACACGCCATTGGACTAAACTTGTAATATTATATACCAAAAAAATTTAGACACGATAGAAAGGAAATGGATCATATAAGCCGATCTTATCTATCCATAGACAAATTAATGATAGGAGTTAAGAGAGAACAAGCATTAAGATAGGATGAGGAAAGAATAACCATTAATGTGTTTATGAACGGCTGATATTGTTTCTCATCACCTGATCATGTTAAATAAGAGATCTGAAGATCCATTCCTTGATCTGAAGCATTGGGAATACTCGTTAATTACATCCCAAAATAAGCATACATTTTGTTAGCATAAACGATGGAGAGAAGGTAGAGTTGGAATTCCCATCCACATATAATGTACTTGGTAAGAATGAAAAGGAAAGGAAGAGGTAACAATGAATCAACACATATAATGTATCTGACATTGCTAATTTTCACTCCTCCCTCGATTCTTCCATTTTCACTTTTACATAGCGGACCTTAAGAAAGGATAAAGAAATAAACAGCCCGCAGCTTAACATCGTAACCACTGCCATCCATTGTTTTCTCTCCTTGTTCATGAAGTAAATCTTCCAAACAAGAGCCGATGTGGATTTTCCATTTTTCCCCTCACAAAGGAAACTTGAAGATTGGGAAAGAACTTCAATATAATTCACATATACTCAATTTCACAGATTACCTACAACATTGAAAGAACTGATCAGCTATAACAAACACTCCACAAGGATGCCATGACAAGACCATAAGTTCATAACGTGTTTTCAACATGAAGTTGAAGGAAATATAAATGGAAATACACAGAAAAGAAAATTAGATTTAGGCCTCATATTAACAAACTAGACCCAAAAAAGACCAAATGAAAAGCATCTACTTTTTCAGTGATCAAGTGGAAGTGTAATTATATTATAGACATCAATCGTGTATTGTTTGGGTAAGAGATTACCTTGGAAAATATGAAAGATTAATACAAATTCATAGACAATCAAACTCTATCTACATCAGAAGAAAGAAGACCCATCTGCTCAGTAAGTTGATCCATATGTTGAGTTTTGTCCCATCCATTTTCCATTGGCTGCACTTCATTCCCCTTGGACTCTTCAGCAACATTGGTCTCGATATCCTCTGCAACTGGAGTTTGCAAAAGATCGTCCCAAATAGAAGGATTGCCAAACAAATCATCAATGTCCACGTCGGGTGAAATACCTTCAAAATCCATAGAAAATGACCCACTTACTCCCAGTGAAGTAGGATCCATATATCCCGCATCTGTCTCTGGAACCATATAATTTTCTTCAGGAATATCAAGAATATTTCCTGTCTCTAACTTTGTTATTGAAGGAAGATCAGGCATGATGACATCTGCTTGAGATACAGGGATAGAAGGTGCCTCATGTGCTCCATCCTTTGCAACTTTATCAGAAACTGCAGCTTGCGGTACAGATAGAATTTCAGGTTTGCCTGTTGAGGGGAAGTGCCCTTGATTCCCCGTTGCAGCAGGAATATGAGAAGACTGCACTGTAGCAGGAGGGATCTCTTGAAGAGTTACTCCAGAAGTCCAGCTTGAAGAGCTGCTGCTGTCCATTGCACTGGATGACGATGAAGTATCACCAACCAAGTAATTATCGGGGTTTTTATTAAAAGATTCTACATGAGACGTATCCCATTTCATGATCTGTCTTAGCATTGCTTTTGCTGCTTCATTCCCCTGAGGTTGATATTTTACAATTTGTCCATCAGGAGCGGCAGCACGCTCTGTTTCGGCAATACCTTCTTGCTTGAGCCGACGCTTTTTGTTGACTTCAGTTATACGCCTATTGCTCTCATTTTGCTGTTGTACAAACTGAGCAAAGAAGCCAGGGCTCTGGACAGCTTTTGCAAGGAATGACATCATTTGCTGCTGTCGTTGCTCCATTCCCTGAAGGCGCTGAACCATTGCCTGCAGCTGGTTATCAGTGGTCTGTTGCTGCTGCCTCAACCTCACTAGCTCTTGCATGAGCACATTTTTATCTCTTTTAAGCCTCTCAACCTCTTCCTCAAGCCCAAACTTCCCAACTTCTACACATGCCCCTACTGATGAACTCTGTCCATGTGGTTGCTGAGCCTGTTGATGATTATGACCATGGGCAGGTTTTCGCCTAGTTATACTCCTAAGCAAGTGCTTTTGACCCCTCAAAAAGCCCTCATTTGCAAATTCCCAGCGATCTGGATCAACCTTCCTGAAGCCCTGCTTAAAATAATGAGTTGATGATGTTAGAAGAAAAAAGAGGCAGGAAGGAGGTCGAAAGTACCCACAACTTTCGAGTTGTTATATAAAACAACGAAGTAGACATGCATAGCTAAACTAAAAATAGACAAGATAATGAAGAATGTGCAACAATATAGTGCAAGGATGCAAGGTGGTCTACCTACGACAAACAAGAAAAAATCTAACTCCAATCATGGCCATCTGGATCTGCTCCATAAAGGATATGCACCAGCTTTACATCTAAAATGAGTACTGCTAATTTACTCAGGTAGACATGTCAACGAAAAAAGCCCATGTCCACAAACTGAGCCTGGGGACAAACTCACTGTTTGATGTTAACTTATTTCAGGTTCAATGGATTTCTGCAATATGAAGTAATGGAACTCTGATAGAAACGTGACAATGAGAACGTGGCCACAGGGAATCAGCAGTGGCATAACTAATCTGTTAGAAGAAAGAGGTGGTGGAATCTGCTAGAATCTGATGAGTGGGATTCTATTAAGGGCTGTATCATGCAAATATATAAAGAGAGAATGGCATCATAGAAGGGTATCAGGGAATTTAGACTTTGGACTTGGGAATTGGGAGAGAATCAGAGCACTCTCCAACATGCTCGGGCTTTGTTTCTGTTTCTTCTTTCATTTTCTGTTCATTTACATTTCAGTATTACTGAAATTTTCCTTTCTGTTTTTGATACTGGTGTAATGAAAACATTGGGTCTGGTCTTGATTCAACTATATCAATATCATTTCAGTCTTTTCCCTTCTTTTCTGGGCTGAGTTTGTATCAAACTCACATATCAATAAGCTAAAGCTTTTCAAGTACTCAACCAGAAATTAAATATATGACAAAAGGTAATTCCCACAATAAAAGAAAATGTTAAAATATTTATTCTAAACTAATCTTCAGAAAAGAAAGTAAACTAATAAATAGAATTTGCATTCCACTCACAGAAGAGTTCAGCAAATCAGAAGTAGATGTAAAATCCTGAATGAGTGCCAATAAAATATACTTGCATGTAGCTAGCATTGGTTCACGAGGAAGACAGAACAGAACTTATTGCAGCCGTAATGTCCCAGTGTTTTGATACTATTAGTCATGCTTAATTTAGCAAGAGGCTACGTAAACATTGCTATTGATTCCTCTAATTATAAGAAAAATACTAGCTTAAAATTTGAGAATTCAACAGCCTTATACTACATAAAAAACGCAGTCCTATGCCACTAAGGCAACTAATCAATTCCACAACATAGTTGAGAAGTTCATACCATTTACCTAAATGAACTCAATAATCAAGCAGAGCTGCGTTAATGGTCTCATCCTTATTTCACCTTTACCATTCTTCCAACAAGATTTGAAAAATGTACATAATACCCATTGTACTGATAGCAGCAGTACAATTAAAAGTTTCTGCTTCATAGAATTTAATTAATATTTCGTGCAGAAAACATAAACACATTCCCTCATAACAGAGGGCTAATACAATTGTACAGAAAAAGGACACTGAACCCGCGTCAGATATCATAACAGCTTCATAGCAAGAATCTTTTCGTAAACCCCTAACTCCTCTTTTCAGGAATTTGAAATCTACCTCACTTCAGTTAGGTTTATACAGTACACCCAGTTGACATTTGATATACTACAACACATGAGTAAACTAGTAATCAAGTAACATATTAACCTGAGAACTGCTTTCTTTGTCAATTTTCCCACTTCTGCTCCATCTGGTTGCTGAGACAAAGCAGGAGGATAAGAAATCAAATTTAAATTTCACAGGCTATCCATTCTTTTGACACACACAAACAAAACAACAAACCCCACCCTGGTTCTTTTAGTTAAATTGAAGGCTGAAGCAACTTTCCTACTTCACTAGTTGAGGCCACCATTCACTTTAATTGAAAATGAACTAAGACGTTGGATGATAAAGAGGGATTGGGGCAAAGCAAAAACCCAAAATATAAAATAAAAACAAAAACATCTCTCACACACTCCTCCGTACATTATAGCAAAACAAATACTTAAAATCAAATTTTGCCAGCAACCCAGTTGCAGACAGTAAGTCAAATCTACACTCACATCATAATCTGAACTAATTATGAATCGTACTTACCCACAACAGCGCAAAACATCAAAATCAAATCCCATAAACTATAAGACATTATTCTAAGACTGAGATTAAACAGTTCAAAAGGATTATCATTGTACATCAACAAGACCACTCATAACCGATAATCACTTCCATTCCAATGGTCAAAGGCGCAAAATAAAAAAGAAAAAGAAAAAAGCGCGTCTCTTTTGTGATCTAATCGACAATCAGTAACAACTTTAAGGAAGAAAATGCAAGGCAAAGAAGAAGAAGAAGAAGAAGAAGAAGAAGAAGGGGGAACGTGAACATACATATGTGTTCAACTGTCTAACGAAGCTGGAGAAGTTGTTGTGCTTGAAGTACTTAGGCAAAAGGTCCCTTGCGAATTCGGGTGGGTCCCAAACCACGAAGCTGTTGTTGGTTGCGCTCCATGACACGATAGCGTCCGTCGATGGGTCATCCACCATGTCATACGTTTTGCTCAGAAACGGTGGCGGCGCGTTCACGTTCGGAATCGGGGCCGGCGCCGGCAACTGGGTGGAGCTTCCGTCTCCGCCGCCGCTCACTCCGTCCATATCGGAAATTTGAATTTTAAGAAAAATAAAGGGAAAACTGGAATCGACGAAAGAATATATTAGGAAAGGATGGTAACGCCAGGCATTTTTGCGAAAAAAACGCAAACCCTAGTTGGTGAGGTTGAGACAAAGTTTAAAATATTATAAAAATGGATTTGGAATTGTACACACACAGAGAGAGAGAGAGAGAGAGAGAGAGAGAACAGACACGACATGAGGGAATGGACTTATGGCCTATGGAGTATGGGCACCTTTCCTTTTTGGGCTGATGGAGTGAGTGAAGTTACCAATTTGCCATCCTCGCAAAAGAATGTTATTTTGATTGAATATTATTATAATCTCAATAAAACACATTATTTTATGATTGAATTTTGTATGATCAGTCATTTTTAATCCGAATATCCAATTAAGTTATAGTGTAAAAATGATTATGGGATTAATGATTTAACCTGCACACTATACACTTCACTTTAAATTTGTACAACTTTTATCATCATAACCAGTTTCTCCTTGTTGAAGGCACATATTCTACTACCTTAAATAGATTTTAGGTCATGTGCTCAACCGTGAAGTGTACCAAACATTATTCTTATGAGATGGTATTTATTTATTTATTTTATTTTTTTTAAAAAGACAGCATGTAAAAGAGGAATCCCCTGTGGAGGAAGACAACTTTTTATGAGTATATTATATAGATAAGGCCACAATATATAGATAAGATGGAGACAACAAGAAGGCTTCAAACACATTACTGGAGAGGCTAACCAAGGATCTGGTTAAAGCTTAGTGGTGGGTAGGAAGATTATCACTGAAGCCACAAAAAATATATGTGCTGTTTTGTACCTATACCTTTCTGTCCATTGGATGACTAACACTATTTCTCCCAGCTGCATTTTTCCTTTAAAGAGGATTGCATGATAGTTACCTGAATTAGAGAACTTTTAAGTATCTGGCAGTTTTAAGACCACAGTTAAAAATTAGAAGCTTCTCATGATGCTAATGCTTCTTCAACCTTGCTGGCCATACTTTTGATTAGATTTCTTATTTCATCCCTTAATAAAGCTGCAACTGCCCCCGTACCATCCTTTGAATTGAATGTAGCACCCACCTTAACTTTTAGCCAGATTGGAGGAGTGGGTCACCACGTACCAAGTTATAATGCTCAGGCAGGCTGTTGCCTGAGTTATCAGAGAGTAGGAAATGAGTTCTCTATTGGATTTTTAGGCAACTTTGTCATGTGAAATTTTCACGTGAAAAGATCAATTTTTCCTGACAGTGACAGATCTAAATTGGGGCTTCGGGTAATTGGTTAGCCATCTATAAATCATTTCCTACTTTTGTTGGGCTTGTTACATCCACCATAATCATATTAGATTTCAACCCATTCTCTGAAACTAAACCAAGTTTCTCAACATCTAATAGGCGTTATTTATTTCCATATAATACCCAGTTTCTTTCAAACACTATTTCAACAATATTCTTACAGGAGTTACTAAAGTGCCTCGTAAGTATTTTAGTCAAGCTAGCTGAGTTATAAAATGTTTTATAATAAATTAAATATAGTAAAAATAAATTATTGACAACTCACATGAAGTACCGGTACCCTTGAAAAATAATATAGGTACCGGAATAATTCTCTATTCATACATCTGTGAAAATATTTCATTCAACAAAAATACTTACGCCAAAGAAAAAATTGAAGATTATAACGGGCAAATGTGGAGTACAATGACATCAGCATCAGCAAATATCTCGTGCGCCCAAATCCAAACCACATCTGCCTTAGATCTCCTTTCCCCAAAATCCAACTGCACTTGTCATGGTGCCAAAGAAAAGAAGGTAAGTACATTTAGTATAAATCAGAATAAAATGAATCATAATCTGCACCTGATTTTTGCATCGTTCATGGCAAAAGAAAGTACGGAATTTTGATTCAGGAATGCTCATTTCTTTTGCTTTTTTAACTATTAAAAAAAAGAATAAATACATTTTTTTATCCTCAGCAAATTTCACGATGCTCGCTTTAGTCCCTAACAAATAAAAAAGCTATTTGTGATCCCTGAGAAATTCAAAATGGGCCCATTTAGTTGAAATCGTGGTCCCTCACAAATTGAAAAAAGATCCATACTAGTCCCTCAAAAAGACTAAAATGGGTCTATTTTGAATTTTTTAGGGACCACGAATAACCTTTTTATTTGCTAGGGACTAAAGCGGGCATCGTGAAATTTGCTGAGGACTGAAAATGGTATTTACTCTAAAAAAATGCAGATTAACATTAATTTATCAGTAACATCTACCTTCAAGATAGTCTATATGTTTATAGAAAACACTTTTTCACCCGGGATCTAAGTTTGACCTATTTATGAGGATGCAAAGCCAATTTCCTGAAATATGTGCAAAAACTAAAAATAACCAGATCGATCAAGGGTGTAGTGAAAATGGAAGGATCGGAAAGAGAATGAGAGAAAATTGATAATGTATCTTAACATCATGTATGGTTGGGTACGTTGTCAATTTTCACTTCCCCCTCTACTTACATTTTCATTCTTAATAAACACACATAGTATTCCCCTTCGAATAGATAAAATGCGAAAATAGCATTCCCCTTCAAAGAGATAAAATGGTAAAATATAATGCTACAGAGAAGAGAGTAAAAACTATCTGGCTGGCTGGCCCATAAAATATAACTTCTCTTAACAAAATGAAGAAAGTGAAGTTTGTTATAGAATCTTACCAGAGAAATAATTCTGGCAGTCCACATCCCTCAGGATGAAGTCAATGCAAGCAGGAAAATGAGACCCAATTGGTCCAATGGCATCTTTAAGTAGTAAATGGAAATCTTCAGCTTTTTGTTCAGTATTGATCACCCTCCCTCCTGTTGTGTCATAGTTTCATCTCATCTGAAACCTTCACAATATCATTTTCAAGCAGACAAAAGCCAAATCAATTGGTCCCTGACCTTTCAAATAGGAGCCAATTACACCAATGAACAGGTTTTCATAATGTAGAGCAGCAGCGTTACACTTTTTTAACCTGTATATGGTACAGGTTAAAAAAAATAGATACCAATTGTTTTGGTCACAAGGCCATGGCAATGAGAGCTAAAGATGAGATCTCCTAAAGTGAGAGATGAAGCTTGCCTTCCAATAGAAGAACAATATGCTTATTACTTGAATATCCATATTCCGATGCTGAACACATCTTCAGGATTAACTTATTGACATCAAAGTACACCCTTCTCCTCAAGCACCAGGCTAAAAAACAAAATGCAGATAAAGCCCCACATCATGTTTGTGCAAAGTGTCCCTTAATAGGTTCACAACTACTCGACCATAAATATAGCATCGCAACCAAAGTACTAATATCTATCGGGAATCATGTTCTAAAGTTGCTCAGCAAAAGTTGAAGCTTTGCTGCACAAAGAAAATGCAAACTTTGGTGCTTCTTCAAGGAAGATTGAATAGTCAAAATTGTTTCTTATAACAATCATCAAATGTAAAATGCCTCGTCACACTAAGTACTTTAGACATATCAAAAAGAAAAGTGGTGAAACCAAATGGGCTAGAGTCACTCCAATAGTGCAAGAGCAAGAGTTTAAGAAATCAAAATCATACAACATAGCAGTCATTTCAACCTAAACCTTAATTTTTTTTATAGAATACCTCTAGCTAATAATTATGCTCTTCCCTGACATTATAAAATTTTACATGTCTAGTGTATGGGTAGCCTTGATGTTTATAAATATGAATAGAGAACTACCCCCATTTTTGCAGTGATTACAACTTCCATTCAGCCACTTCTGCATGATGATTCAGCATTTTCTTAAAATGCAAATCCATCTTCCTGCCCTATAAACATAATGTCTGCTACATTGCAAAATGACAGTGAACATACAAATAAGAATCAAAAGGGAAATATAATATGCACAAAACTCCAAAAAAATAATTCATAGTATAGTACTCTCCAAAAGTGATGCTAAACTTTGCAGGACATATAATGCTTGAAATATCAATTATTAGCAATGTCATGGGCATCCCATTTAACTTACCAAGTTTGATTCTCTTTAACACTCAATATGTCTTCTTTGGATCACTGCACCGGAAATGAAATATTCAACCTTCTTATTCTGTGACACAAATGGCAAGCAAGGATGATGAAGATAATAAATTAATAATACTCATTTCTAGTAATACTTTCAGTACTGTAATCATTATTACTATCAGTACTGTAGCGAAAACATTTCATTTCATCATTTCATAACAACCAGCATCTGCAGATTATTTCCACTTAATGATACAATGTGAGTCTGCCTAGAATTGGAAAATGTGAAGATATTTGGCAATTCATCAATTAAACAAGCACAGCAACCGGTAGTGGATCCAAAAAATTTGCTTAGCGGGAGAAATTTCACACTAATGTACAAAATTAAAAATAAATAAATAAACGAATGCTTAATGTGTCAATACATGTAACAAAATATAGTTTACACAATGAAGTTGAAGGATGATGAGTACGAAACAAGTTATCATTTAAACTAGTACTAGTAGTATCTGGCTGCTCTGTTTTGGAAAATCTAATGCAGATGCATAAACAAAAATCAAATGGTGTAGAATATGTAGAAAGATATGTGAATTTTCACAAGTACAAAATATTTCATATATAGCATTATTCATCTCAATTTATTGACTTAAAAATGATAGTTCATACATTAGTCGCAAAAATAACTAGCTAGTGCCTAGTGGGGACAATTGTATATAAATTATAAACTACTAGGCTAATAACAAATAACTATATATTATTACCCAAAAAAATAAACTATATAATAAGTGGATGCCAATGAGTGATACAACTATTGAACAACACAGGTTTTATTATGATCATACTGTATCAAGTGGATTTTCAATTAGCAAGCAAGTTTAATAACCTGGCATATAATAATGGAGATGTCAAATACAAGAAGAAATTATGTCAAAACACATACCAGCCGGATATCATGGAAGCTTTTATACAGCTACCTAACCTTCTTGAATTGCACCATTCAGACCCAGAACCTTATGAGTTATATCATCTGGCAAAATACCCTTTGCCTTCATTTCGTCATATATTCTATGTGCCTGATCTATGCACCCATGCTTATGGTACCAAGAAATAAGGACAGTGTAAGTTACAACATCAGGAATAACTGCATCCCTGTTCATTTTATCAAACAGCCAGGAGGCCAAATCTATCCGGTTTGACTTGCAAAATCCATCAATCAAACAAGTATAAGTAATTACATTAGGCAAACAGCCTTCCTTCAACATTTCTTCAAATAATGCCCAGGCCTTTTTCATTTCTCTAGTATTACAAAAGCCAGCTATTAAAGATGTATATGAAATCTGATCTGGATGCAAACCCCTTTCTTTCATTTCCTTTAAAATACCATATGCTTCACACATTTTGCAACTACGGCTAAATATGTTAATAAGAATTGTATATGTGATGGTGTTAAAAGTGATCCCTACTTTTACCATTCGAGTGAATAACATCACAGCCTTTTTAAAATTTGACTGTTTGGCAAAGCCAGAGATAAGAGTACTATAATTCACGACTCCAGGAAGTACATTCCTTTTAAACATTCTGGGCAGGAGCTCCAATGCTCTTTCTGGGTAACTTTCTCTGCAAAGCCTGTAGATAATCGCATTATATGAATGTGAGTTGAGGTTAATTCCATGGTCTTGGAATTCTTCCAACAGTGTCAAGGCTTCTTTGAAGTGACCTGCCCTGCAGTATCCATTAAGAACATAATTGCAAGCAATAGTATCTGGCCAGATATCATCCTGTAGCATGATATTAAAAATTTCCAATGCCTTATCAAAGAGTCCTAGTTTGTAGAATCCCCTAATTAGACAGCGGAAACTAAAAGCTGTAGGTACCAAATCATTGCTGGTCATCTCCTCCAAAAGCTTGATAGCTGAATCCATATCACCTTGCATGCAAAATCCATCAATTAACGTTTCATAGACAGTCTGATCATATTTGTGACCAGAAGCACCAATACTACGAAAGATATCCACAGAGCTTTGCATCAGCTTATTCTTGCATAGACCACGGATGAGGGAGGTATAGCTAACAATGGATGGTTTTATCTGGTAGAGTTCCATTTCCTTCATAAAGTCAAGACCTTTCACTACATCCCCTTTCTTGCAGAATGCATCAATTAAAATGCTGTAGCTATAAACATCAGGAATTATCCCGGAGCTCTTCATTTCTTCCAAAACTTCCAAAGCTTCATGTACTGCACCTCTTTGACAAAATCCATAAATTACAGCATTAAAACAATGGTTATTCAGAGGCTGGTTTTTATAGCACAAGTTTCGAATTAACTTCAGAGCAACCTCAACGGAACCAACTTTACAAAGTCCATGAATATAAGTACTATATGTGACAACATTTGGGTTTTCCCCACTCCTATATATTTTTCCTAAAATCTCAGTAGTCCGTCTAATATCTGCACCCTGCCCAACATCTCTACAATAAAACTTCATCATAATTGTATACGTGTAGATATTTGGCGACGGACCAGAGTCTTTCAACTCCTCAAAATAACATCTTACAAACTCCACTCTATTAGCTTCTACCAAGCATTTCAACAAGAAATTGCAAGACAATATATCAGGTTCAATCCCAACATGCTTAGCACTCATATACACATCAAGAGCATTTTCAAGCATAGAGTTGGATGCAAATACTTTTATGAGCATATCAAACACAACAATGGATCTTTCCACATGGTGGGGTGAATCCAGCAAATCTGAAAATAATTTGAAAGCATCGTACTTGGCCTCGTTACAGTATCCAACGACATCTCTAAGCAAAGCAAACACTTCACAGTGCATCCCCACCACAGCAAATGTGTGAATGATAATCCTAAAGGAATTGATTGAATGAGAAAACCCATGACTCTCAACCCAACTACCAAACCTTATTTCCCTTGCAACCCTCCAATTCAAGGACTTAAACACCCTAACCACTAAAGGAAACAATTCTCTCCTTGTTCCGGGAACTCGGAGTGTTGACCTACTCAGCCCAAAATTGGCATCAATTTTCGGACTTTCATCAAACACTTGGTCTTCATACATCAATGCGGAAGAAGCAGCAGAATACAACATAAACAAGCATTGCTGTTGGGAGTGCGCTTTGCTGCGGAGCAAACTGCACCCAAGTAAGCATATTACCGACATGAACATGAACCCATCAATTCCCAATTTGCGCCACCATGGAAACAACTAAACAACAAGTTGTGAGGTAAAGATTGAGGAACCCACCTTGTGCCACCGCCGCTTTGGATAGAGCTGCAGAAAAAGGAAGGTTTTTTTTTTTTTTTTTTTTAAATTCTTTTTCTGAAGTTGAAAAGCTTCTCACTTCACGTCGAGTTGGAGGAGAGGGTAGGGGTTTAAAGAGGTTTACGCTAATTTCCTTTTAATGTAGTTTGTTCTATGAGAATTTTTTATAACAAGCATTGTTTGTTCAAACCTAGGGCAGCTTATTACAGAATTAAGGTTTTTTTTTTGAGATAAAATATTGTTAATATCAAATAATGTTATTATCATATCTTAACTATTAATTTTTGTCAATCAATGGTTTATTGTGAATTAATAATTAATTAATAAATTTGATTTATAAAAAGTTATAACCGTTGATTAATGAAAATGAACGGTTAAGATATAATAATAACATTATTTAATAATAACAATATTTTTTTTAATGTTCGAAAAACAAAGAAAGAAAAAATTGGATGGCTGGTTTTTTTCTTTTTCTTTTTTGGGTTTAGAATGAATGAAAGTTTTAATTTTATATCAAAGTTTTAAAAATTATTCATTCTTTGGCTCCATTCCAAAATATATGGAAAAAAAATCTTAATTAATTCACTATTAGAACATTCTCAGACTTGATTTTTTTTCCTGGTTCATTTTTTTTAACGACCTAACCATTTATTGATTAAATTTGATTATAAATTGAATAAAAATGGAGAAAAAATCATATTTTTATTTTTAGTGTACTGGGTCACTTTCTCCATTATCATATGCTAATTATATTATTATATTTCAGAGTAGGATTAAAATACATTTCCTCTTTAAAATTACTTACTCCTTAATATTTTTTTATCACTTATCAGATCGTTGGTGAAAATAATATCCAAATACCATTTTTCATGTCTTCTTTTTGTTGAAGTTGACCTAAATATTGTCTACCAAAAAAAAAGTTGACCTAATTATCATTTAAAATTGTATAAATTGTACATTTTGCTCATATGTTAAGAGAACGAAACATCATATGCTCCTTCATTCTTTTTTTTTTTTGGGTATAATCTGAAGGGTATCATCATTCAACCGGTGAATGCATTGAGCTTCGCTACCAAATGAAAGATGAGACTAATATCCCATATGAGGAGAGAGATACGTTGCCAACTGAGCTACCCTTGGGAGTTAATGCTCCTTCGTTCTTAAACATTCTTAAAATGTAAACAACGTATTTATATATTTGTGTGGGGCTGAAGCTTGAAATCATTAAAAATGGAGAAAAAGAGTTGAATTACTTAGCATGATCGAAGGGTATTTTTAACATATTATTATTTATAAATTAGAAATTAGACAAAAGAATTACATAAAAAGTAAGTGATAAAATAGATAAAAAAAAATTTAGGGTAAATCACAAGAGCTATTTCGACTTTATCTATATAGTAGTTATGTACCAAGAATATTATATTTCGCCTGTCCAAAAGAAAAAAATTATTAAATCTTAATTTAAGAAGGCATATGTGAAATCTTATTAACACAATTATTTGTAATAAGATATAACACGATGTAAGAAGCACATTAACACCAGAAATGGATATAATGGATAATGCTACTCCGGAAACTTGATCAATCTAGATAATGGAGGAAAAGAACTAGGTATCTAGACATGCAAGAATTGATGAATTGAAACTATTGCAATGCCACTGATGGAGTTTGAGTATTTTTTTCACTTTCGGTTGCAAAAGAAATAAACCGTGTGGGTTCCCACATCTAGTTGGGTTCTTGAGGGTCATGTGTATAATTGATCCTTTTGAGTAGTAACATTTATCTTCATTTACCTTATAATGTAGCAGTCATATGGAAAATCAATAAAACGAGCAAATCTTTGTGCCTCTATGTAACTTATATATGATGTAGTCTTTCAGTGTCCCTCTTTATTTGTAGAGGGACATTGGACATCCGTTGACAGAAAAGCCAAGCTTGTGATAAATCTTCCAAGAAGAGAGTACATAAACAGTTTACAATAATTAGAAAATAAAGCTTTCTGAACATGTAGGAGAAAAGATTGTTAATTACTTAACCTAAACAATCCATTTACAAAAGAAAATAATGTACCCTTAACCATAAGAGATTAGCGATACTTGCAGAGTATGTTTGTTGAACGGCTCAAGTTATGCAAAGGTTTCTTGGGGATTACTTAATTATGGAATCTAATTCCTATCAAGACTGCTTAATCTCTCACTAGGTCTTAAACTCCTTTGTAACAAAAAAGAATCCATGATGGGTTATTACAAGGATAGAACAAATAACAGAACTAAAATCTGCAAAACATAAAGAGCGACCGCTAACATTCTATTCCATTTCTAATACCATCACAGTAACTATTCTATACAATGTATTATATCTAACAGCTCCACTCCTCCTCTTCGTAACAGAGGAAGGAACGAGTAATTTTTCGTTTTTAAGTAAATATTTATAACATTTGAAAAAAATTACAGTAATTTTTTTATTTAACATTTAAGTTATCCATCTTATGACTTAGATTGGAACAAAAAATAGACGTGTGAAACCTATTCTTTTGTACAGAGTTAAGAGCTAAATTAGAAAATTAATTAATGTAGAAACCAAATGGGATCCAATTCATTTCAGTCTTCAGATATGGTAGTTGTTAAATTTTTACAATCAAAAAGTAATATGGACCTGAAACTTCGAGTTTTTTTTTTTTAATTGTGCTCTTGATTGTTTTTAAACGGTTTTATAAAGTAGTTTATAAGAATTGATTTTCAAAATAAAAGATGAAAAATTTGTTTTGAAAAGAGTTTTAAATTTTGAAGAAAAAATTGTTTGGTGAATTTATTCTACAAATATGTTTTCAAAGAAAAAAAAATTCAATTGATTGGTAAACTTTTTTAACTGTTTTTTATTGACTCAAATAAAATTTGATAAGTATATAGAAAATAAATATATAATTCTATAAATATATAAATAACCTTGAATTTATTTAATTTTTTTTTATTATAATCACAAACCATATAAAAAATACACAGCTCACCAAATTCATCATCACTTAAAATCTGATAAAATTTCGTCAAAGGTACAAACATAACTTTCTAATGAAATATTATCAACATTTATTATAGTTACAACTGGTGATTTTATTACAAGAACGATAACACTTGTTGCTCCTAACGTAGGTGCTTCAGCTCTAAAAAGAGGTAATTCCTCAAATCATATTCTTTTTCCTGATTGGCTCCATGTGCTTTTGATTGATTGAATGAGAAATTAACCGTGTTTCGTGTTTCCTTTTTGTTTTAATGTGGTTGACTATTCCCTTGATTTTTTCAAATCCAAGTTTTTAACTTCTTTTCACGTATTGATTGACTCCTCATTGATCTTCTCCCTTGAAAAGTAAATCAATTTTTTAATAATAATGTTAAAAATCCCTCCCAATTAATTTGGGATAAAGGTGTTGTTGATGTTGATGTTGATGTAATGTTAAAAATCTATTCCCCTCTCTCTTTGATTATTCACTTTTTTTTTTCTCATCTCCTTCTCTTATTTTATTTTTTAATAAATAATAATAATAATAATAAAATAATAACTTGGTCAAAATAAGATGTTCACATAAATAAACCCATTATTATTTTTATAAACATAAATCCCACGCTATAGACGCGTGTGAAGACCCCAAATATATCATATCTGAGCTAGAAACGCATATAGAGAAGACACCAACAAAGCATATTATACCATTGAATCGTTTCTTAATTACAAAGGTAGAGAGTGAAGCAAATATATAGATCATCAACATGGCTGTTGAAGCTGGCCATCTCAACCTCTTCCACCCTCAACTCATAGGAACTGCAACTGGTATGTACCTTTTTTCTCCTCCATTCTTTGTTTTTGGGTCTGTTATGCAATGTCTCATAAATTAAACTTGTTGTGACATGAATCTACAGGGAAATGATGAACCCATTGAGTCAAGCATCAATCTTTACAACAATCAGGTGATGGGTAATAATTGTTCACAGCTGCCACTATCTTGAACCACCGCCGCCACCACTGGGAGACTCTGTTACCACAGCCGCCATATGTAGGAGTAGTAGATTCTTTTCATCAGAAACCGTTGTGAAATCTGATGGCTGTCTCAGATTTTAATTTGTTAGACGTTCAAAATAGTCTGGCCTACATTAGGTCTGATCTCAAAATAGAGCAGGTATAGAGTTTTAGAAAAATTCATTTAAAATTAGGACATAGGTCCACTTTAAAAAGTCTGGCCTAAAAAGTTGTAGGCTAACTTTTTAATTTTTTTAATAATATAATATATTTATGATATATATTATTCACTTAAAGACATATTTTGATATATGATTTGTAACACTAATTTTCAAAGTAATAATTGTAGGATTTATGTTTTTTTAACAAATAATAAATATTTATTTAAAATATAATATAAAATTAAATTAGTAAAGAAAGTGAAAAATGTATATATACATATATGAAATTTTTATGTGATATTTATGAACATTTTCATGTGATCTTTATGAACATTATTTCATTTGTTGTTAATGAAATAATTATTTCATGCGATCTTTGTGAATAAGACATTTTATCTTATATATTTCAATTTGGTTTGGGCCTATAAACTTTAGTTTGCAACTTAGTAGGCCGTACAGGCCGTGTTAGGCTTTTTAATTTTTTTATAATAGGTTAGGGCCTATAATATTAGAGAAAATGTGAATATTAAGTCTTATGAAATTATGATATTTTTATGTTTGATTTTGTCTTCATAAATGTGTATATTATGCTTTATGTGTAACACCCCCGTGTATATCCGGTTTTGTTAACATGTCATCGTATTAAACTATGCTTAATTAAAAATGCGAAATATTTTTTCTTTTCAATTATGATGTCACTATCCATTACCAACTTGATTACTTCATCATTTTCAAAATATCGTCTGTATGTAAATTGCAATAGACAACTAACTGAAATACCTCAATATCTAAATAACAAAAATGTGTCTAAAATCACGGAACTACAACACGTAGACCGGATAAACCCTGATAGTTTATACAACTCAAGCTACAAAGTACTAACATCAAAGC